GTAAGCTCAGAGGACTTGAGCTCTGAGCTATGCCTATGAATGGAATTGCTTGGATGACACACGGCCCAGAATACCAGGTCTCTTGTAATCTCAGGTCACTTCTAGGGTGAGGAATGGACTAAAATTCCTTCCTCGTTGATAATGATCATGCCAGAAGTCCATGCACCGAGAGAAGTTAGGTACTAAAGCTGATGTCTGTGAGCCCTGCAGATGAGCTTGGGATGGCTTTTGGAGTGAAGCACTACATCTAGGTGTTGGAAGAGATGCTGGATTCTTGGGCCAAAAACTAGAAAAATGTGATTCTTGGAATAGAGTGCCACCTCTATTCCCATATGGACACAGCACAGAGTGATCGTAACTGGACCTACTGGGCCAACTGGAGACCAGCCTGGTCCTCAGAGCTCTCTGAAGCCCTCGAGTCCAGTTGAGAATCTGGAGTTGGGCTCCTTGCTGTCTTGAAGTATTCAGTCCTGGATGTATCCATATAGTCAATACACGGGTGCCAGGTCCTTTGCAGAGCGTTGGGGATATGAGGTGAATCAGATGTCCTCTCAGTCTCTCTCTCTAAGAAAGTGAAGATGTTCATGTAAGCAAGAAAAAGCCACAGAGCATTACAGGTGCAGCTAGGATAGATGTCTGTACAGATGAGGGGCCCAAAATGGTGAGAGCTGAGGTCCTGTGAAAAGAACGAAAAGGAAGTGACAGAGGGGCATGCCAGGCAGAGGGTGCAGCATGAGCAAAGGCTTGGAGGCATAGAAGCCTGGTGGGTGGTTCTATCTAATGGAGTGAAGGGTTAAGTGGCAAGAGATAAAGTTCAAGAGGCCAGCAAAGGATGTGTCATGGAGGATGTGTATTGTATGCCAAGGAGTTTGCTTTTCATCCTTGAGTCAATAGTGATTGAATACTTTTAATTGAATTGACTAATAATAATTGAATAATATTAAGCAGGGGGATCATGTGGGTTTTTTTTTTTTTTGCATTTCAGAAAGATTGCTCTGGAAGTGGAATCGAGGATGAATTTTAGGCAGGGAGACAATATAAGTAAGGAAGGTGAGAGATCATGGAGGCCAAACTAGAGCAACGACTGAGGAAATGTAAAGGAGGTGATGGATATGAGAGGAGAGGAGGTGAAATCAGTAAGACCTGACTCCCTGAATGTAGAAGTAAGTGTGGGCACCTGGATGATGGTAGCACTGTGCACCCAGATGGGGGGACTGGGAGGTAGGGAATCTTTGGGTGGGTAAGTTGATGGTAAGTTGACTTTTGGCTATATTGAGTGAATGTCCATGAATATCTCTATCACTATTTCTATCACTGCTCTAACCATTTTATAAATACCGGTTCAAGTGTCCACGTGTCCATTCCTCTTCCCCACCACTGTAAACTGCAGAATGTTTCTCACTCATCTCTGCGGCCCCTGGACCTGGCACCATGACTAGTACCCAACAGTAGGTACTTAATAAGTGTCCATTGAATGGCAGGGTGGGTATCCCCATGGAGGAATGACTTCAGTTGTTCCCTTCGTTGAGTCCTTCTTGAAGTCAGATCCCAAACGAGGAGATGATATCTCCCTTTGAAGGAGTAGAGGGGTGCCCTTTCCTCCCACTGACATCGTGGGGCCCTGCAGCCTTAGACCAGGCAGAATGGTAAGTGGCCAGAACTGGGACCTGGTTGAGGAGTCCAGGACAGGACAGGCTGTGGAACTGGCTGTGCCTAGACCAGGCCTCCCTGGAGTGGGTGCCCACACCTGAGCTGCTCATAGCAGGTGGACGGGCAGGTGGGGGCACTTGAGGCTGGAGGAAGGGTGGAACAGGATGTAGGCCGAGGGGCCAGGGATAGTCCAGGGGCAAGCTGGCCGCGCTGTCTGTGCCATCTGGCAGACTCAGGCCTGCTTGAGCTCAACTCACCCACCTTATAAAACACAACAAGGCCAGTGTTCCTTCCACTTATCAGCAAGACTTGTGACTCAGACCTAATGGATCCTGCATTGTCGTCATCAAGGAGGGGCTGTATTCTTTGAGGAGCTGGGCACCAGTCCAGGTCTTAGCAGGCAGCATGAAGGCTACTGGTAGGCCAGGGAGTGTTGGCTCAGCCAGCTCACATGTCCCAGCCTTCACTCTGACGAGGGGCAGGAGATGGAGGAATCACCTGCTCCCCTGCTCAAGCCCAGTTTCAGAGCACCTCTGCCTTTACTGTATTGATCCTAGCACTTGGGTAGCTGCCCAGGACTTTTAAGGCTTGGCCTCTGCCTACTTCCAGGATCTTCCAAGCAAGACGCTTCCTGGCATCACAACAGCCACACACATCTCACCTCACAGGCCCTCACAGCGGCCCCGGGACTCAGGCTGGTGTTGGTACATAACAGTGTGCTCACTTCTCAGATAGGAGCATATGTGCAGGCCCAGAGGTGAAGGGATGCACCCAAGTTCACCCAAGTTGGTGGCTGGGCTGGGATCCGAGGAAGAGCTGGCCTTCATCTCCTGCTACTCAATTCCTTGTTTACTCTACTCTAACCACAATGGGCGCCTTGATATTTGCCTCTGGAGCATGCCAAGCTTGTTCCCATCCCAGGACCTTTGCGCTTGCAGCTCCTCCGCTTAGCAGGCTCTTCCCACAGGTTTCTGCAGGACTTGCTCCTTCTGCTCGTGTGTCACTATCTAAAAGAGCAGCCTCCTTCCCTTTGTCACTTTCTCCCCTTATACCACGTAATTTCTCTTCTACATAACATACCAGGGAAGCCAGCCTCTTGTGTGTTCAAAGCCATCCAACACTGAAACTGGTAGGTAGTGAGCTCCTCATCACTAGAGGATGAATGACTTGCTGGTGGGCTGCTATAAGGCCTGAGTAAAAGATGGGAGACAGATAGATGACCTTTAAGTTCCCCTCCCTTTATGAGATGATGTTCTTGCTCTGGGACAGGAAATTATCATTAAATATTTGCTCTGCTAAACAGTAAAAGGATAGCTGCCACCTGCCTCAGAGGCACCTGAGGGTCATGAAGCTTCCTTAGGAGGGGCAGGAGGATCCTGAAACTGAGTCACGGATCTCAGGCTGGGCTGGGCTGCAGATCTGGGGCTTCTATTGGCCTGTGGGGGTGACTGTCTGGCTGCCTGGGACCCCCAAAGGGTTTCTTCTTTTTATATTTTAGAGAGAGAAACATCAGTGTAAGAGAGACACATTGATCGGTTGCCTCCTGCATGTGCCCTGACTGGGGCTGGGGATTGAACCTGCAACCCAGGTATGTGCCCTTGACCCAGAATCAAACCTGAGACCCTTTGGTATGCGGGCTGACACTCTAAGCACTGAGTCACAGTGGCCAGGGCCGACAGGGTTCTTCTTGGACAAGAATCCTCCCCATTGGCTAATTTAACTATTCTCACAATTTATCTGTAAGCTTGAAATCTTCCTAAATAAAAGTTTTTTTAAGTGCTGAAATTTTGATTCAAATATTTTTGAGTGAGGTCCAGCTTCTGTAGTTTTAAATTCTCCCATTGGAAATCTAATCTGCAGATGGAGCTGAAAATTACTGATCCAAATATGTAAATAAAATTTTGTGGGCTTAAAATTTGTTTTATTTTTTATTTTTTTTTCCCGTTTTATTTTTTTTTATTTTTTTTATTTTTATTTTATTTTATTGCTTAAAGCATTACAAAGGGTATTACATATATGTCCTTTTTTCCCCCCCGCCCTTGACAATACCCCGGCTTCCCCTACCCCCCTGTTTTAATATGTTTTATTGATTTTTAGAGAAAAAGGGAGAGGGATAGAGAGATAGAAACATGGATGAGAGAAAAACATCAATCAATCAGCTGCCTCCTGAATGTGCCCCACTGGGGATTGAGCCCACAACCTGGACATGTGCCCTCTGCCCTGACTGTGATTTGAATTGTGATCTCTTGGTTCCTGGGCTGACACTCAACCACTGAGCCACACCTGCCGGGCATTTGTTGTTGTTGTTGTTAAGCCTCACCTGAGGATGTTTTTTTTCCACTGCTTTTTAGAGAGTAGAAGGGAGGGAGGGAGGGAGGGAGGGAGGGAGAGAGAGAGAGAGAGAGAGAGAGAGAAACATTGATGTGAGAGAGACACATTAACTGGTTGCCTCTCTGCCGCTCAACCAGGGGCGGAGAACAAACCTGAAACCCAGGTACATGCCCTTGACCAGGAATTGAATCTGCGCCCCTTTGGGATGCAGGCTGACACTCTAACCAAACCAGCCAGGGCTTGTTATTCTTTTAATAAATCAGAAATTCTTTGAAAGCAGATAACCAAATATCTCATTCATAAATATTGCGTAAATATGGGGTAGTTTTAGATACAGATCTTGTCTGCATTAAACCCTTATAGTGTTTTATTTTGTCCTTTCCCCGTCAGTTGTACCTTCATATGATGCAAAAAGAAGGAAGGAAGGAAGGAAGAAAGGAAGAAAGGAAGAAAGGAAGAAAGGAAGAAAGGAAGAAAGAAAGAAAGAAAGAAAGAAAGAAAGAAAGAAAGAAAGAAAGAAAGAGAGAAAGAAAGAAAGAAAAGGTAAACTTCTGTTTACCTTTATACCTCATTTCATACCCTGCAAAATATTTTCCCATCTACTATCAACTCTCTCATCTTCACAGCAGCCCTATGAGGTAGACAGAGCCAGAATTATCACCCCCATTTTGTGCACAGGTAAACTGAGGCTCAGTTTTAAAAAGTAGCTTTTCTGAGTTCACAAAACTGGTTGGTAGAGGCATTCCAGCCCCTTTTCTCTGCCTCCTGCCACCTTCTAATTGCTTTTTCCTCTTCCTTTCTGAACTGCCTTCTCTCTCTCCTCTTTCTTTCTGAAATGCCCTCTCTCTCTCTCTCTCTCTCTCTCTCTCTCTCTCTCTCTCTCTCTCTCCTAACTTGCTTTCTGTTTTTCTCTTTCTAATTCCAATTTCCCTTTCCCTCTTGCTCCAGCCCTCAGACTGGCATCAACTTTGTGAGTTGTTCAAACTTTTCCTCAATTTGAAAATCTGCCAGCCCAATAACCACAGTCCCACCCCACCTCAGCTCAGCATCTCTGCGTAGAGAAAGCCCTTTCCGGATGCCAAGGTGCAGAGATTACGCAGGATGCCACTCCTGGCCTCTCCATCTGGCCCCAGATAAGATAAGGGGAGGGCTCAGCACTATAAACAGGCCCCCATCCTTCCCCCGGCCCAGGCTTCACTAGCTGAGCCGACACCAACCCAGGATCAGCATGGCCATCCGTCTGTGGGTGGTCGCCCTCGCCTTGGCTGCCCTCCTCATTGTGGACAGAGGTGAGTGGGCAGAGCTTGGATTCTCTATGGCTTGGCATTGGTAGGTGAGCTTGGGGTGGGGGCAGAGGCTGGGCCTGGAGCACTTCTATGAGGCTTCAATTTTCTGCATACAACTTAAAATTTTTTGTTAAATATATTTTATTGATTTTTTACAGAGAGGAAGAGAGAGAGATAGAGAGTTAGAAACATCGATGAGAGAGAAACATCGATCAGCTGCCTCCTGCACATCTCCTACTGGGGATGTGCCCGCAACCCAGGTACATGCCCTTGACCGGAATCGAACCTGGGACCTTTCAGTCCACAGACTGACGCTCTATCCACTGAGCCAAACCGGTTTCGGCTTAAAATTTTTTTTAAAACAATATCTATTTTATTGATTTCAGAGAGGAATAGAGAGGGAGGGAGAGATAGAAACATCAATGATGGCAGAGAATCATTGATCGACCGCCTCCTGCACGACCCACACTGGTGATCCAGCCCGCAACCCAGGCATGTGCCCTGACTGGGAGTCGAACCATGACCTTGTGGTTCATAGGTCAATGCTCAACCACTGAGCAACATTGGCCAGGCTGCATATAACTTTCTCTGCACCCCTCCCACCATCGTGGGGAAAGCCCTAGGCTAGGAGAAAGGAAATCTGGGTTCAGTTTCTGATTCTGGTCTAGAATTGCAAAAATCCTTTCCCCTCTTGGGCCTACATTTCTCCAGCTGTAAAGTAGGAGGTTGTCCTAGTTCAAAGCTGCACTGAGCAACTACTGGGCTAGAGATCAGGGAGGCAGAAAGGAGCAGGCCTATCTCGTCTGCTGGTTGCAAGCTGGTGGGTCTGGAAGCAAGGCTGGCCTGGGTCCTCTTAGCTTCCATCCATGCTGACAGGCTATCGCTGTGGGACTGAGAGCAGCCATATGAGCACATGGAAGCCCTCTTCCTGGGAGCATTTGCCCTGGATTGGACACGTGCAGCTGAAATGGGGCCTCCTCAGAGCCTGGGGCACCTCTGCAGTCTCATACCTGTTGTGTTATAAGGCTTTGTTCTCATTGTTCTTGACCCTTCAGACATATCAGTGAGCTTAAATCCAATGGGGTGATGGTGGGAGGGAATGAACAGTAGACAGGATAGGTGCAATGTATGTTAAACAGTATGTTAGAAGGTGATAAAATATGAGGCAGAGAGGGGGGTTTGGGATGGGGTTGTAAGGATAAATCAGGGGAACTTTTCCTCAGAGGCTGATGTTTGACCAAAGCTTGAAGGGGGTGAGGGAGTGAGCCATGTGAATATCTGAAAGAAGAAGGTTCCAGGCAGAGGGAACAGGCAGTGCAAAGGCCCTGAGGTAGGAGTCTTTGAGATACTGCAAGGAGGCCAGTGCAGTTGGAGGGGCGTGAGAGGCAGGGGAGATATTAGAGGCAACCAGGAACTATAGTGCGTGAGGCCTTGAAGGCCAATGTGAACTTGGCTCCTCCTCTGAGTGAAATGGGGGGTACTGAAGAGTTTTCAGCAGGTATGTTGTAAAAGGATCACTCTGGTTGCTGTTGAGAAGACTAAAGGGGGAAGCAAGGAGACAAAGCCATGGTGTTACAGGGCGAGGCCCGGCAGGACATCAAGGCCATCGACCTCATGGCCAGTCCCACAGACATTTCCCCAGCTGGGGACTCAGAGAATGGGTCTGGGGCTTCTGTCCCAGCACAGCCTGCTCACTCACAGCCTGGCTTCCTTTCCCCAAGTACTTCTCCTGGTGGGAACACTGAGGAGGCCTGCCCTGAAGGGAGTCCTTGTGCCCATTTCAGATTCCTGCCTTGGCTGAGTGAGAAGGGGATATCTTGGGCCCAAGTCCAGGGCAGCCTGGAGTAAATACAACTTCTTCTCACATCCTCCAGGGAGAAACTCTGACACCACAGGGTTTTGAACTCTTCCCCACAGTGCACTTTAGGGGTCAATTCCTGAACACACTCGCTGTGCAGGGGCATTGACACTCAGAGGCAGAGGAAAGGGGAGCCCTAGGGAACTCAGGCCCATAGGAAGACAGGAGTGACGCAGTGGGACAGCACATGGTGGCATGAAAGCTGCTGCTATGGTCTGAATGATGGTGGCCCCCCAAATTCATATGCTGAAATCCCAATCCCCAAGGTGACCAGAAAGTAGGTCATGAGGTCGGAACCCTGATGAATGGGATTAGTCCCCTTATAAAAGAGACCCCTGAGAGCTGCCTAGACCATTTCACCATTAAGGACATAGCAAAAAGGCACAGGCTATGAACCAGGAAGAGGGCCTTACCAGACACCAAATCTGCTGACACCATGACTTTGAACTTCCCACATTCAGAACTGGGATAAATAAATATGTTTTTATTTTTTAATTATTTTTAAAATGTTTTTTAATTGATTTTTTTTTTCGAGAGAGGGATAGAGACAGAAACATCATTGAGAGAGAAACATCATCGATTGGCTGCCTCCTGTGCTCCCCCCCCGCCCCCCTCCCCCCAGGGGATCGAGTCTGCAACCCCTGGGTATGTGCCCTGACTGGGAATCAAACCGGTGAACCGGTGGCCTCTTGGTTCCTGGGTTGATGCTCCACCCCTGAGCTACAGCAGCCGGGCTATTTTTTATTTTTAATAAAGAATTTGAGCGAAACTGACGGCATATACTGGGAGCAAGATCTCAAATGCTCCCCAAATGTTTGTTTTGTTTCTAAGACACCTAGTTTGTGGGATTTTTGTTCTAGCAGCCCAAACGAACTAAAACTGAAGCCTAAATCCAGGCCTGCTCAGGAAACCCTGGGGGACATCAGGGAAGGCTTCTCCAGAAGGTACATCTGAGCCTTGAGAAAAGGGTATGAGACAATAGGAGAAGGGGAATAAGGACATTTCCGGCAGAGGCCACAGTATGAGCCAAAGTAGAGCCTGTTCTAGGAAGAGTCGGCTGCGAGAGCAGGAACATGGAGGTGTGTGTACTAGGAAGGGCGTCCAGGGTGAAGTTTGGGAGCAGCTCATGCAGTGCCCTAAACATAAAATGAAGGAGCTTAGTGATCCTGACAGGCAGCCATGGAAGGGCTTTATATTTTTTTAATGTTTTTTTTTGTCCCCTAATAGCTACCATGGAAGGCACAAAATTCAATGAAAGTTGACAGTGCATATAAATGTGTAACCCAGACCCCTATCAAGATACAGAATATTTCTGTCACCCCAGAAATTTCCATGTCAGTCATCCCCACCCCCACCCCTTTCCCAGAGGCAACCACTGCTCTGTATTCCACCATAGATTTGTTTGGCCTTTTCTAGCACAGTCACTTAAGTTGCGTTTATTCCTCCAGTCTGCCCTTGACCTTGGCCCAAGGTGCCCCTCCACACAGTATGTAGTCTTTTGTACCTGGCTTCTTTGGCTCAGCATGTTGTTGAGATTTAGCCATGCTGTCACATTATCAGTTGTTTGCTCATTTTTTTTTTTTTAACATCGATGAGAGAGAAGCATCGAGCAGCTGCCTCCTGCACATTCCCCACTGGGGATGTGCCCACAACCAAGGCACATGCACCTGACCGGAATCGAACCCGGGAACCCCCCAGTCCCCAGGCCGACGCTCCACCCAGCGAGCCAAACCGGCCAGGGCTGTTTGCTCATTTTTATGGCTGCATTGTATCTCACTGTATGTGTGTGTCATAGTCTATCCGCTCTCCTGTTGCAGGACATTTGGTAATGTCCAGTTTTAGAAATTGACATGGACGGGTTTGGGGCAGTGTGGTGACAAGGCTAGGTTTGCATTTTGATGCCCAACATCAGGCATGAACAGCACACCAGAGGTCACTGTCTCAGTTCCCGTTTCCCTCTCTAACTTGGAAATCTCTTGTAATAGCATTCCCAGGCGGAGCTAAAACCAGTGCCTTGTAAGCCTCTATTGATGGAGAACTTTCCACTTCTGGAGACAGCCCCCTTCATTGGGGCATAACTCCCACTGAGAGAACATTCCGGAACCCAAACCTGAAGCCTCCTTTCTCAGACAGGCTCTGCCCTAGCAAGTTGAGGTCTCCCTTGGCCTCAAGACAATCATTCAGAGATTTTAGGAAACATCCTGCCCTTTTCCACTCTACATAAACCGCTTTCCTTCCACCTGTGGTGTTCGACATGGCTCCTGTCTCATCCACCCGTCACACTCACCAGTCACCTCACAATTTGCTCAGGTCCTGTAAGCAGTTCATCCAGACCTTGAGGCCATGGAACACACCAGTGTGTGCGGGAAGAGCCAGGTTAGGGAGTGACAGACCTGTGTGCAAATCCCAGCTCTGCCCTAACAAGCTGTGTTGCTTGACCTCTGAGCCTCCTTTATAGGTTGGTCCAGTTCCCCAGGAAAGACTCAGATCTGCATATGGTTTATGGGGCTAAGACCCATGAGGGACGAGGGACGTTGACTCTGATGAGCCTACGGGGAGCCTTGGAGCTGGGGAGGCCCTTCAGCATTGTTCTGAATAGAGACGAGGGGTTCGGCCTATTGTACCTGCATCAATCTGTCATTGGAGGTGGGCTGTTCCTGGATAGGGGACGGGACCTTGAGCGAGGTAGCTCCATTCTCTGAGAGTAATTCCTAGGAAGGGCCTCACTATGAATGGCCAATACTCTTGGCAGCTGAGGAAATGAAGGTGTCAGTCCCGCAGGTGGGCTCTAGGTAGCAGACCCCAGCACCCACTGCTGGCTCCGTTCCTCCATTACACAGCATGAGAGAGGTATGAAGAGTAGTAAGATCATGTATTCTTGTTTGGCACAGACTGTTATTTTTATTATTACACTAGAGGCCCGATGCATGAAATTCGTGCAAGGGGCTCGGCCCTGGCTGTCTCAGCCTTCGCAGCCTCAGCTGCCTTGGCCCTTGCAGCCCTGGCTTCGTCTGTAAGGTCATCCAGACGGTCTTTCTGCTGTTCGGTCTAATTAGCATATTAGCTCTTTATTACATAGGATGGGACATAATTCCAGTGGAATCTGACTAATAAGCAACAGGTTGGACTGCTCTTAATTCTAGACTTTCTCTGTTCATGTAACCCAAGGTCACACCAGCTTTCTGGAAGCCCCACAGTCTGGTGACCACTGCCTTTCTGTGAGGAATTCGAGGTTGGCCAGTGGCTGGAACAGGTCCTCTGAAGCAGTCTTCAGATCCCTGGACTGAGGGGCCTAGAGCAGACATCAGCTAATTCTTGCTGTTTTGTCTTTCAGGAGTGCCAGTGTCAGGAGAAAAGCTCGTTTTCTCAAGAATGGTAAGGCAGCCGCTTGCAGTTCTGGCCTTCCCTCTGCGGAGGGAGCCCTCCCATCCATGCTGGAAAACAGCGTTTGTTTTCCTTTAACACCCCTGCTCAGATAACTCCCGTGGCTCCACAGTGGCCAGGGTGGTTTCCCGAGCCGTGTTCCATGGATTAGCCCTTCCAGACTGAGCAGGCCCAGCCCCTTTGCCGAAGTCCCCAAACTAGCATCAAGCCCCTGCCAGCAGTGAAATCCCCCCACCCAGGCTCAGCAGGATCAATGCACTCTGGCTACAAGCAGAGCCCTGGGTTCCCCTCACTGCCTCTGAATTCCTAAGTGCCCTCCCTCCCGTCTTCTCTCTCATAGCCCTACTGTGAGCATATGGCAGAGTCGCCAGACTGTTCCCAGACATCCAACCTGGTCTGCGGCACTGACGGGGTCACATATGAAAGTGAATGCCATCTTTGCTTAGCCCGGATGTAAGTCCACTCCCCACCTTCCCCTGTGTTTGCTTGCGTGGGGCTTCGTCTCTGCTGCATACAAGTCTGAAAGGAGCAAGACTTGACCTGCCTCCTCCTTCACACACACCTGACCTAGGAAGAATCCCCCAACATTTGCTCCTAACAGAATGGGCACAAGTGTAATTCATGCACATGGTTCTAAGCAGAAAGCCGCAGCTGGTGGGAGGTAGGGAGTGAAGACACTGATCCTGACTAGGTGACTTCATTTGATTATTAATTCATCCAGTCAACAATTATTTATTGAGCACCTATTATGTACTAGACACTGAGGAAACAACAGGGCATAAGCTAGACAGCATTACTGGCCTTCTGGGGCAGTCAGTCAGTCTAAGGGGGAAGCCACGTTGACTGTTAGCTAACTACAGAATAGAATGCTAAAGGTTCGGATGGGAGTACACAGGGTTCTATGGGTACAGGGCAAGGGTAGGCCAGACTTCCCAGCTCTGAGGTGTAAGTAGAAATTAGCTAGGAAAATGAAGAAACAAGGGAAGGTAATTCTAAATAGAGAAATGAGTTTTGGAAAGATCTAGAAAGGAAAGTTTATATTTGAGGAAATATAAGAAATTGGATATGCTGGCATAGAAAATTTAAAGGTGAACAGGAGAGAGGCAAGAAATGAGTCTAGAGAGGCAGGACCAAAATATGACCTTGGTACATCTGAACACTCATTTAGTCTCATGTCTTCACTAATAAGATACTTGAGCTGGCCAGAGCTAAGTGAGATCATGGAAGAGAAGAAAGTCTTTGGAAGCTAGAATGCACTAGACCAGCGGTTCTCAACCTGTGGGTCGCAACCCCTTTGGCGGTCGAACGACCCTTTCACAGGGATCGCCTAAGACCATCCTGCATATCATATATTTACATTATGATTCATAACAGTAGCAACATTACAGTTATGAAGTAGCAATGAAAATAATTTTATGGTTGGGTCACAACATGAGGAACTGTATTTAAAGGGTCAGAAAGTTGAGAACTACTGCACTAGACAGATGTGCAAGAGAGCAGCAGGACAGTCTAACTTAGGTCATGACTAAACACTCAGGATTATATCAGGGGAGAAGTGACAGCTGTGAGATTGGATGTGAGGGATGATGGAGGAGGCAAAAACATGCTGGTTTCTAACTTGTGGGTTTGGGCGGTTGGTGGTGCCATGTGCCAAGGTAAGAAACAGAGGGATGTAGCAGGTTTGTGGGGTGATGTCTCTGGACAGTTGAACCTCTGGGACATCCCAGTGGAGATATGGCTAGAGTTTAGGACAAAAGTCTGGGCTGGAGATAGATTTGCAGCCATCAGTATGCTGTGGTGGTTGAGACCCTAGGAAGCTGAAATCTCCCAGAGGAATGTGTGCAAGAAGGAAAAGCTATAGAGAGATGCCCAGGCACCCCTGGGGTCTGCCCTCCACCGTACACTAAGTGGGTGGTAGGGCTCAGCAGGTGTCTGAATGGACTTCGCCAAGGTCCCTGAAGGGTGCATTACAGTACCTGAGGAGGTAGCCTCATCCCTGTCTCCTGTGATCCTAGGAAAACCAAACAGGACATCCAGATCGTGAAGGATGGCAAATGCTGATCCCACAGGAACCTTGTAAGCCATGAAGCTTCAGGCTGGAGAACAGTGGTGGGAGTGGAGAGGATGTGATATGAAATAAAAGATCCAGCCCAACCCAGCCAAGTGGGCCAGTATTTTGGGGGACTCTGGGGAGGGAGTTGTGGATCTGGTCCCATCCTCCATACTCTGAAACTGATGTCCTTGCCATTGCTCCAGTGCTCCTCAACCCCGTCACGTGTCCCCCGAGAGATCCCTTTCTGAGGTCAGGGTTCTGAGAGGCCAGCCCCTGGCCTCAGCACTCTCTCTGCTCAGTGCTCCTGTCTTTATAAGGCCAAGAACCTAGGTGAGACCTATGCCCTCTGCCACTGTCCGGGTGCATGGCCCCAGCTTCAGAAGCCTTTGTGAGGGTCCCACAACCCTTCATGGCTTTCTCCTTGGCTGACACAGCACCCTAAGTCCCCCCCCCCCCCAACACACACACACAACACACAACCACAGCTGATGTTCAGGTAGTGTACACAGTACAACTGAACTGTTTGTTAAAATACTGAACTAGCTCTGGCTGGTTTTCTCAGTGATTAAAGCGTTGGCCCTTGGACTGAAGGGTTGCAGGTTTGATTCTGGTCAAGGGTACATACCTTGGTTATAAGTGCAATCCCCAGCCTGGTTGGTAACTGTGGGAGGTAACCAGTCTCTCACATTGATGTTTCCCTCTCTGCCTCTCCCCGTCCCTTCCACTCTTTCTAAAAGTCAATGGAAAACATAGCCTCAGGTGAGGATTAACAAGACAAAAAAATAAAAGTTTTGAACTAGGTCTGTAACAGTTGGAACAGATGCTGCCTCAAGCCCTTGATGTCCCCCTGCACCCTGGCCACCCACAGCAGGATGACTCCAGAACCTGCTCTCTTTTGGCCAACATCCACTCCACTGGCTGTTAAACACATTGACATTAGACACAACCCCAGCACACAGCACACATGCACTCATACAATGGCCCTCAGGAATACAGAGCATTCAGAAAGCCGACCACAGAGGCCCCAGCCTATAGTATATGTCAACTATCCCCTCTTTAGGCCAAAGCCTACAGGGAGAACCTCTTGATAATGGTGGTAAGGAAGAGTGTAGAGGGGCCTGGCCAGATGGGAGCATTTCACATGGACACTGATTCCTATTCTAGTGAGGGCAGATAAGGCAGAATATTCTGTGGGAAAGCACACACATTTCAGAGGAAAGTGGGGGCAGGGAAGGCAGGAACTAACATTCCCTGAAACACAGAAATGGGAACCTAAGCAGGAATTGCTGCTGATAGATTTGAAACTATTATAGGGACAGGGAGGTCATCTACAGGCCCTTCCACTGCTACTGACAACAGAAGCTCCTGTTTCCCCCTGCATATGAGTAACATAAAATGAATCTGGACAGTGAGAGACGGAAAAGCTGAGATAACCGTGCCTTAAACAGAAGTTCATTTCTTTCACATAGACCTCTTATATTATTAGTCTGCCATCCTCCTCAGTTCCTACCTCAAGGTCAGAGACAGCTGCTCCAAATCCAGCTATCTTGTCTACATTCCAGCCCTCAGAAAAGAAAAAACGGCAAACTGCCTCTGAAGATGCTTCCCGTAAGATGTACATAATATTTTCATCTCATTGGCTAAAACGATGTCTTCTCTTGTCCAATGGGAACCTAAGCAGGAATTGCTGCTGATAGATTTGAAACTATTATAGGGACAGGGAGGTCATCTACAGGCCCTTCCACTGCTACTGACAACAGAAGCAGTGGAAGGAGACTGGGAAATACAGTTTTTAGCTGTTTGGCCATGTGGTAAGCTGAAAACTAGAGGTTTACTTATTGTAGCAGAATGGATATTTGTGACATTTAAAAGTCTCTGCTCTAAGTGGGACACCTGTCTTATACTCAAGTGGCATATAGTTCAGCCAAGCATCAGTGACCCTTTTCTCCCAGGCTTCCACTCATACAATGAGGAATCACAAAAATTCTGCCTGAGCAATGTGCCAGGCACCACAATGGAAAAAGTACCTAATTCCCACTTTACAGATGTAGAAACTGTGGCCTTGACTCTGGAAACCCCCCCCCAAAATATAAGTGTGGGCCGCTAAAGACCCTATCTATGTCATGTGACCCTGCTGCTCTGGCCACGGCTGATTTGGCCATAAGATTCTTTAGGATTTTTCAAATTGGAAACAAGGAAAACACTCAGTTCCTCTCTGGCAGCAAAGCTGTAAGATGTGTTTCCTACTTCATGGAAGAAGCAGGATTGAGAGAAAGATGCTGACATACAAAGAAGATATAGAGAGCGATTCCAGGCAGTGTTTGAGTTCCTGAAATCCAGCTGTCCTTGAACTTCCAGTTACATGGGATAACGTGACATCCTGTCAATAAATTTCCATTTCAACAATGTCTTTGAAATTATGTTTCTGGTTCTCTCAACTAAAAGAAGCTTAACCACCAGATAAAAAAGGGATTCTCAAAGGAGGTAACCTTTACGTTATGGAAGATAATTAGGAATTGTTGACTAAATGGACCGCATGTGGAGGATCTTACAGTTCTGTGAGGCTGAAGGAAGTTTTGGGGATCACAGAGCCCCATTTGTTCCCCTGAGGTAGGGCGGATCATGTTCTAGGAAAGCGGGCAGCTGAGAAGGGATGTTCTCTCCCTGTTCACAAGCAGATACCCTCTGGATGGGTAGGTCTGTGCAGGGAAGGCTGTGTGACCAGGCCCCAGTAACCATCCTGCACATCTGCTAAACAGCCCATGACTTAGGGCCTCTTTGCTCAACCCTTAAATGATGACTGTTAATATTGTAAATTCCAATGCGTTTGACATTTGTTCTACAAATATTTATTGAGCATCTACTATAAACCAGACAATGTGCTTGAAATATGCTATCAACAAGACAAATAAGCTCCTTAACCCAGGGAACTTATAGTCAAGTATAAAAGGCAAATATTAAATTAGATAATCCCATAAATAAACCATCAGAGACTATGATACTTGTTGTGAAAGAAAAGTTATGACAAGCTGAGAGAGGGGGCTTGATATGTTCTCAGACAGTCCATGAAAGAGGCATTAAGTTCTGAAGGACAAATAGAAGTTACCTAGGAAAGGGATGGGAATGGTGGAAGGGTGGCAAGGAGCTGTCCAAACAGAGGAATGGTGAGTGCTAAGACCCCGGGGCAGGAGAGGGTACAGAGAATCTGAGGACCTGAACGAAGACCAGACTGGCTGACCACACGGAGCAAACAGGAGAGTGGCCCGACATGAGATGGAAAGGGAAGCCATTGGATGTTTTTAAGCAGGGACTGACATGGAAAGATTTGTACTTTACATCACTCATGATGCTCTGTGGAGAATGAATCAGAGAGGACCAGAGAGCAAGTGGAAAGACCAACATGAAAGGAAGGAAAGGAAGAGAAAATGAGTGAACACACAACCCTGTGTTAATTGGGAGGCAGCACAATAGAGATAAGAGCATAGCCTCTGAATCAAACTGCCCAGCTTGGTGTCCTGGCTTAGTTATTTACTCTATGACTTTAGCAAATTACCTAAGCTCTCTCAGTTTCCTCATCTCTAACATGGATTAGTATCTATCTCCTAGGTTGTATGAGGATTAAATGACTAATATATCAAGAGTACTTAAAATACTATCTGGCACACAGTAACTTTTCATTGAATGTTGTGGCCTAAGGTGACACAGCTACTACACAAAACAGTTAAGTACTGAATTGCTCTGATTACAGTTGGTGGTGGGCTGGGCTGGGCCCTGAGCTTCATGCACTTGTCCTCTCCATACCACCTTGTCCTAGTCCCACCCACACAGTCCTAAGTTCCTGGGACTTCAGTGATGCCCTGTGTGCCAAATCAGGTTGGCCTCAGAGTGGCCTATCAGGAGCCTGTCTCCTGAGCACTGTGTGAAAAAATGGGGTGACAGCAGCTGATCAGTTTAAGAGTTCTAGCCTGCAGAGCCACTCTTGATCTCCAGACAGGATGCTTACGAGAGGCAACCGATCAATGTTTCTCTCACACACTGATGTTTCTCTTTCTCTCTCCCCTAAAAAAATAGTTTAAACACTCTTCTGATTGCTGATGTGTATATAGTTTTAACAAAACAATAGGTGGTGGGGTGAGGAAGGCCACAAAATGGACAGGAACAGCCTTGAAGGAAATATAGATCTCAGGACAGTACAGTGGACAGAAATGCCGTTGAAGGAACTCCTGAGAAGTTTATAGCTGTCTTCACCATCTGCCTGCTTTACTCACTCTGTTTCCCTCTATGCCCTTCCCAAGACATGATTTTAACCTGGTTTTAACCAGAGACTCCGCCAACACTGGGTTCTAACCTCCTACAGATTTGCTAGGGGACAAGGAAGCCCATACATCAACCCCAGGCCCCACCCCAGGAATGGCCCCCTGAGATCTCCTGGCTCGTGGCTGTGCAGGTTCACTGGAAAGTAAATACAGAGTCTGTGAACCAACAACCCAACCAGCTATTCCAGAATTAGGTCACAATGAGGGATATTTGGACTTCTGTGTGCCAAAAACCTGCTCCAAGCTATTTCCAACATTCCTGACTAGATACAACCTCCAAATGATTCTGATTTACATCTTTGGGACTATGGGACCACAAGGGCAAAAAGGCCGCATGTATCTGAAGACCAGGGTGGCCTATAAATCTAAACTACCCCTGGACAAACGAAAGCACCCAAAGGTCAAAAGACATGGGAAGATTTGGGCCCTCCCAAGATAAGGTGGGCTGTGGACAGCACAGCCACACAGAGGCAGAATGAGAAAACAAACAAGAGCTCTATTTAAGATTATAAACACAGTACTTGTTCATTGAGAGCAGGTGTAGCCAATGGAGGATTTTAAGCAGAGAAATATGCCAAGGTGTAGGAGAAAGAAAACTGGCAATTGGCCAAGTGACCCAGCAGCCTTGGAGAAGTCAGGTAACTCCTGTTGCAGAGGGCAGAGCTGGTGGCACTGTTCTTCAGGGCAGCACAGCCTCTCTCCGCCTCTCCTCATTTGGCCAGGGCCAAGTTTGTGGATTGCAGCTGCTCTGCCTCCTGGCAGATGTTCTGCTCCACTGTGTCACACTCGGCTAGGAATGCCTGAAAGATCAATGCAGGGCAGTGAGGGTCCACCCAGAGTTAGCCAACCCCAAAGCTCTGTGCTCAACCATTCTGGAGAACCTATGGGTGACTGGCTCATGCTGAAACAGGCTGCGCAGGGAGTGCCTGGGCTCCAAAGTAAAAGGATAGGGTGGTAGAGGGAAGAGCAGTACCAGGGTTTCTGACAATGCTCTAGGCCCATAACCACCAAAAGGAAGCCTTGACACTGCAACTACACAATTTCAGGGGTACACTGTACATATGAATGGTGCCTCCTAGAACTGTACAATGTGTCAGCCCATCTGCTCTCCAGTGGTCTTCCTTCCCAATCAGTTTAAATTCAAACATAATTACAGAAACATGAAAGGAGCAATTCTCTTATATTCTGGGTTCATGCTGAATACCAACAACAAAAAAAAAAAGCCACGCAACTTCTACTATATCCTTCTTTGAACAGATAAACACATACACCAACCCTTTACACCGTGCATGTCAAACTCAAAGGCTAACATGGGCCAAATAAATGAGGCATTGCAGCCTGCGAGTTTTACATGCTTGCTTTACACTGTGTAATGCCCTACCACACAACTCACCTGAACCCTTTTCACCAAACCCTTCCTTTTCAGTCTACTCTCTTTGAAATTTTCTGGCAGAACCTATGGAAGAATAAGTTGACACGTAAATAATTTGGTAAAAATGACGTAAGAACACATCAGAAATATCCATAGTACACCAAGTAGGTCATGGGTCACCAATGGGAATGAGACATGAATTTCAGGAATAATTTTTCTGGGTCGGCATCCTACGTGACCCTTCCATGGCTCTTGCTCCTATGAAAGCTCCCTTTGTTCTGTGTCTGGGCCATAGAAACTGATCTGTAATGTGGACTTTGTTCTTTCACTGTTTCCTAGCTATGGATACTATGTTGTGGCCATACCATGAGGTCACTGTGGCAAGGAAAGCACCTTTTGCTTCTTTTTTATAAGCCCCCTCCCTATTACCCCATCCTCAAATCCCAAGCAGAGTAGTTCACCCTCAAGAATGAGGCATCAGGCTAGAAATATTATTTAATTTATTATCATCTGTAAAAGGGAAAGTGGTGTCAATGATTCCCAACAGCCTCACAAGAACTGGGTCTGATTGAATTCTGTACAAGTAATGAGCTCAGTGGAATATCAGTCACATGAGTATCAGGAAAGTGAAGCCCTGTGTTTCTCTGACCATGAGACCATAGACCATTTGGATCCAAGCTTTATGAGGATTAGGTGCTACTAGCACATGTTAATAAAAATTCGAAAAGCCCTATGCTGGTGGGATGTGGGTGGTTAGAAATCAGGAATTGTCTTATCTTTCTGTGTATTCACCTAAGACCTAGCAGTATCTCACATACAGCAGGTGCTCAACATCCTCAGACAATAAGGCCTCATTACTGAAAGAGTGAAACTGGCTGAAATATAGTCAAAGGAAATTAGTTCTTCTCAGGTGAATATTTACTTACTAGTGCATCAATCTCCTCCAAGATCTTCATAAACTGCTCGATTGTGGCTTTTACTTTCCTATCAAGTTTGCAGAGAGCTTCAGCTTGCAAATCCTTGGCCAGAAAACCCTGTGGAGAAATAATGCATTCTTGCAAGGATTCCTTGAAGC